CTCTCTTTACTCTGCTCAGGACGTAAACTAAACCTGTACTCGGTGTGTTAACCGTCATATTCAAGATGTTACACAAATGTCTGATTATTAATATTATTATGTTTTGGGTTTGAATGAACAGCTTATCTGTTGGAACAAGTTCATTGAGACTTTTTCCTAATTTAATTGGATGGAAATAGTCAAATTTAAACAGTTTTAATATCTTCTAGCTCTCTATAGAATAATAATAATGATTATTTGAATATATTGTTGTTTTCATTATAGACCTAATTTCATTATAAACCATTTATGTAATTGAGACTAATTAATTTTTTATTATCTGTTGATTTATTTATTTTTTGATTAATTGATCATTTATTTGTTCCATAAAATGTCATAAAATAGTAACAAAATGATCTCTCACAATGTCCATATCCAGTCTATGATTCAAACCCCCAAAATATTTAAATTAGTAATCACATAAACAGCAGCATACTCGCATAGCATTGGAGAAGCTGGAACCCGCCTGTGTTTTAACATTATTTAACATGAGTTACTGTGACCATTGTAATGAAGCTGCCGTTCATAACCTCTATGATAAACGTTATGAAACCTTCTTTTCCTCCACAGAGGAACAGCAGCCATCGGTCCGCTCATCGCAGCTCTGAAAGGCGGGAAAACTGTCACGTACGAAGGAAAAGAGGTGCCGAGAAAAACGCTCCCCGTCTGATTTAACCCGCTTCTTTTCATTATTATTGTTTTTTAAGCTGCAGCTCTGAAATTAATTTTCTCTGTCCGTCGTCTTGTAGATCCGGCCGGAGCAGGTTTGTACCCCCACTAATCCGGGACCAGTCTTTATCGTCGTCGAGTGTCCGTCTGAGGAGTTTGTTGAGGCGGTTTGCTCCGACCCGCAGCTGAGGAGGTAGAAGAACTGTGATGCACATTTTATTTATTCTTATTTATCACAGAGTCGTCTTTATTTGGATACTTTTACAGAATTATTCATCGTTCCAGTTTTTACAATATTATTATAGAACACAAAAGTTTCATTTGAGGTATAAATAAATAAAACATATTTAAACATAAGAGAGGAAATGTACGTTCTACACTTCTCCCAAATCTAGTTTCCTGAGCCTCATGGAGAAGGTGATCTTTCCTTATTGTAAATATTTCATAAATGATATCATACCTTCTATAAGCCATCACACTCAATTCAAATACGTATCTTTGTTCAGTGTTTGTGGATGTTGAATGTAGTATTTAAGTTTGAGTGTGTCGTCTCCTCCAGATACCAGACGGGAGCGACGGAGGACTCGGCTGCGCTGGTGGTCCACATGACTCCGGAGTCCGTTCTGTCCACCGATCAATACAAACGGTGGATGGGGAGGTTTGTCTTCTCCCTCTTTACAAACACATTCCACAGACATTCTGACTGTTTTTGAGTTTTGTGTGTCTGTCTGTGTGTGTCTGTGTGTGTGTGTGTGTGCGCGCGCAGGTTTCCGTCCACAACAGAACACCTGATCCTGAATGAGCAGGTCTGTACGGTCCACAACGTCAGAAGTCACAAGATCCAGGCCCAGCTGAACGTGATCCACCACGACATCTTTCCAGAACTCAAGTCCTACAAGTCAAAGGTATCCCACAAAACTAACGTCTGTAACTTCCACAGATCTAAAAGGTGAAAGGTCACATTGAGTCAGACCTGAATGAGCTTCTAGGGGACATGAACCGTAACTTCTTCATCTTATATCATGTGCTGCAAACTCAAGTAGATCTAATAATACAATGGACAAAGAAGAACTAACTAGAGAAAATGAAATGATCCTCTTTAAAGATGAGCAGGAGAGAGGAGGAGCTTAAGAGGAAGTGGATTAAATGAGTCAACAAAACTAAAAGAGTTTCTCTGTTTCATACCTTTTTAAGTAAATAAATATTCTTTAGTTTCCCTGATCTGTTTCATTTTAAAAAACAGTGTTTTAAAAAGAAAGTCGGTTCAGCAAAACAGGATGTTTGATATTTAAACGTCTCCATGCACTCTGGGAAATGACTAAAATGCATTTTTCACAATTTTCTTACATTTTCCCCCAAAAATAATCCGGAAAGTTAATCGAAAATGAAAGAAATCGTTGGCAGCGGTGGTCGTTTATTTCACATTTTTGGTGTGTAGCTCGTTGCACATATATTACATCACATGACTTCATAATCACCCCTCCACTACGTTTCCTGTATCACAGTACTGTACTGTAATGTAATGTAATGTACTGACTGCAGTGGCTCAGTAACTGTGTTTTCCTCCCCAGGAGGCTCCGGCTGAGCTGCACATCCCAAACGTCAGAGCCGAGTGTCTGCTCAAGTTCCAGCTCAGGCCTGTCATGGAGTGGCAAAGGTTAGTTTGTCCTTCACCCCCCCCCCCCAAATGTAGCCAACATTACTCTGCCTCTCCGAGCGGCGCCTCGTCACAGAAAACAATCTGGAACGGACCACTGCACTCGGCCGCTTTCTCCGCTCGTCTTTTTTAACCTCGTCTTCAAAGTGTCAGGTTTTTCTTTTCCCTCTTCGCTGTTTCTGTCAAGTACTGCAGCGGCGCGTCGAGGTCAGATGTGAGAAAGAATCCCTGTTTTCTTGTTGTTGCGGGCAGCGGTGTGTGTCTTCTTGACTCTGCTTCTCATTTGTTAGAGACGCCATCCCCTCCTGCAACACGGAGGAGTTTGTGAAAGAGGCGTCTGAGGTCCCAAACTTTCTGGAAGAAGTGGACAAGTGCAGGAAGATCTGCTCCGCTGACGGCGCAGATCTTTCTGGTGAGTTTCTCCTCTTTAAACCTCCTCCTCCGGGACCTTTGCTTTCTCCTAGTTCACAGCCCGACAAAAGAGTTTGATACTTTTAAGTGGATGGATCCTCCAGTGGTGTGAAGGGAAAGTATACCAGCATGTTCTGTTTTCTACAGGAGAGAAACACCCCGAGGTGGTCTTCTTGGGAACAGGTTCGGCTCTACCGATGAAGATCAGAAACGTCAGCGGCACTTTAGTTAATATCAGGTACGGATCTCCGCTTTCCACACGGGTAGATCCACTTATAAAATCTGCTCTTAATTTGTATTTAGTTCCAATGAAACAAAATGAAAAGTGGATCATAAAACTACCGTTTGCAGCACAAGTTCTTCTGTAGTTTGTTGTTCTTTGTTTTATAATCTCCTAAAATTCACTTAATTCCACTCTTTATTTTGATCACTTCCAACGCAACATTTTACCCAAAATATAAGCTGAAGATTTAATAAAACTCTGTGGGTTTATTGGTGCATATCTGTATGAAATGAAATTAAAATAACTTTTATGGAGATGGAGTGCACCTGTCAGTGTGGCTCAATCACATCGCGGTGATGCAAGGAAGAAGACACTTCTTTCTCTTTTGTATGCATTAATTGAGTCTGTTCTTCTGTTCGTTCTCTGCGTGCAGCCCGACTCAGTCGGTGCTGTTGGACTGTGGAGAGGGAACCTTCGGTCAGCTCTGCAGACACTACGGAGACAACGTGGACGACGCTCTGTCCAAGATCTCAACCGTCTTCATCTCACACATGCACGCTGACCACCACACGGTAAGCAGCTGTGCACGATACGATGCGACCACGTTGTGTCTTAATACGAGGAAATACAGATCACTTCAGTGGAAAGGGAGCTGCTTCAAAATAACCTTTTCTTCTTCTTCTTAGGGGCTGCTAATGTTGCTTTATCAGAGGGAACGAGCACTGGTACGTAAAAGAACAGAATATGGAAATCATAAGACATCTAGACATTTTACCCTTTTTAACTGTAAGGACTCTAATACGACGTCCTATCTTTCGGTCATTTAATGTAATGAAAAATTACTAAATAATTATTTATTAAACAAACGTAATTGTTTGTCTCCCAGACAACGTTGGGAGAGACGTTCAGCCCCGTCTACCTCGTGGCTCCGGTGCAGATCATGAGCTGGCTCAGCCAGTATCACGATCACTGCGAGGAGATCCTCAACCACATCAAGTATGTGAATGCAGTCTATGGATATGTGTGTGTGTGTGTGTGTGTGTGTGTGTTCAGTTTTAGTGTTTTATTCAGCTTCATGGTGATATTTGCTTCGTTACCTCCCACCACTGAGGGAACCTTTCATTATGCCGACTCATTAGAACCAGACATTGTTGCCCCTCAACCATCCTGGAGGATCTTCCGATCCCTTAAATGCAAGACCACAGACTCTATTTAAGAAGTGGACGTAGTCATCGTCACAACACCCATTTGTTTTTTGCAACCGTATACGTCTCTTGTACAGACCTGTCAATCACTGTGTAGCCCCGCCCTAAAGCATCCCCTGCTTTATGGTCTGTTTGACTCTAAATGGACCATTATTTACTAAATGAACAAGACTTGAAACTAGAGATTGAGACCATAAACTCATGTTTACAATGTTTACTGAGGTAATAAATCAAGAGAGAAGTAGAGTCACTTTCTCATAGACTTCTATACAACCACAGGAGTCGCCCCCTGGTGGACACTAGAGAGAATGCAGCTTTGAGACATGAAGCTTCGGCTTCACTCGGCAGAACCGGAGGTTGCCACTTTGGAAATCCTCGTTTGCATAATGAAAAGCACCCTGAGCGTACAGAGATGAACCCTTTTTTAATTAAGAGATCTATATTGTTGTGGACTCGATGTCTTTTATATCGTGTCTTTTTGTGTTTTTCAGCCTCATCCCGAACAAAGTTCTGTGCGACGGCGGCGAGGTGCCCAGGCAGAGGACGAAGTTGTTCATCCAGGGACTGCTGAAGGAGAACGATTTGGAGAAGGTGTTTAAACATCACATCAGTTTTGTTAGTGACGTGTCTTTTTAAATGTATTTATTATTTGTGTGTGTGTGTGTGTGTGTCAGTTCCAGACGTGCACCGTGCGTCACTGTAAGAACGCCTTCGCCTGCAGCTTCTCTCACCGGTCCGGCTGGAAACTGGCGTTCTCTGGCGACACCATGCCCTGCGATGCCTTCGTACACACCGGTCAGTTCCACATTTAACTCAGAGTGTATCTACACACAGGGCGTGTGAGAGCAAATCGAGCGGAGGAGGCTTTCAATAATCCAGAGAGCTTCATACAAGGTCATCGAACTACATCTGAATAATTTATCAGATATTCCTTAATGCTTTCGATCACTCTGCGAGCTGGCAGGCCTCTCTCTAAAGAGGTTCCTGCGGGATCCCACTTCATTGACTCTTCTTAAATTGCTTGACTGGATTCGGTCCAAGCGAAGCCTCCCGGAGACGGCGAGTGTGTCCCACGCCTGTTCATTATAGATGGCATCGGCTCGCCGGACAAAACCAGGGCGTGCCGATTCTTGATTACTCCGACCGCCTGATTGATTTCCTGAGGGGGAAGAGGCTGTTAGTGCTTCTCTGTGATTCAGGACTCTCATTCCACTTTTCTTTTTTCTTTTCTTTGCAGGAAAGAATGCAACCTTACTGATCCACGAGGCCACGCTGGAGGACGGGATGGAGGAGGAAGCTGTGGAGAAAAGACACAGGTGAGTAAAGTCACAAACTGCAGAGATGTGAATTGAATAGAATAAGGAACGGTAAACAAAATAAATGCACTTTATTGCCTGTTTGAGGTTGCACTTATGTCTTGAGTGCATTGTTAAATATCTCTACTCTCCACAGATATGATATTGATTTCTGCACATTTTTTTATTCTTCCAGAGTGAGTCTGTTTTCGCAAAAACATCTTTTATGTCCCTAAAACTGAGACGTCAGTAAATCTCTCTGCTTCATGCTCCGTGTTGTTGTTTTTTTCCCCTGACAGCACGACCTCGCAGGCCATCGGCATCGGCATGAGGATGAACGCCGACTTCATCATGTTGAACCACTTTAGCCAGCGCTATGCCAAGATCCCCCTCTTCAGCGAGGACTTCAATAACAGAGTGGGGATATCGTTTGACCACATGAGAGTAAGTCGTGTGACGTCTTCATCAGCTGAATAGGGAAGCCTTTTTCTTGTGTATATATACGATTGCACCTGAATGCATCATTTGAGCTGAAGCTGAATGTATGGTGTTCTTTCTTCTGAGCCTCTCTTGTTTTTAGGGGTTACAACCTGCTAGTCAATCATTTCCTCCATTTCCTCTTTCCTCAGATTCGCTTCGGGGACTTTAAAATCCTCCCCGGGCTCATTCCCGCACTTAAAACCCTTTTCGCTGAAGAGATCGGCGAGATGGAGGGGAGACGGGAGAAAAGGGAGCTGAGAAACCCGGGAGGAAGCGTCTCCGAGGTGGAGAAGACGCCCGACGTGAGCCGAGCTAAAAGAGTCCAGGAGGAGGAGGAGGCGACGCACAGCCAAGAGACCAAGAGGCTGAAGACCTGCTGAAGGCCCGAGTGAAGAACAGACTTTTAACTGAGAGAAACACGAGTGCTTTTATTTCAATGAGTTGTTTTCTTCATTTGGCTCGTGTGGTTTTATTACAGAAAAGATGCTGTAGATTTCCTGCATTGTACAAAGCTGAGCGATCAGTACAGTTTGTTTTTCAGTAAACACAATAAAAAGATCCCTCATAGTTCATAGTCACGTCCATCAAACATGAGACGTGTCAATCAGTGGTTACCAACCACAACAGCTGGAATGTGCCAAATGTTTTTATTTAACGACATTCATTCTGTTATTAAGGGGATATTGTTAAAATCCATATTTCACATGGTATTAGATGGATTCCCATGGAGTTTGGTTTCCTCTCGATGGACTGTATCATCTGTGGTAGAGCTGCCACAATATCAGATGTTCACGATAATATGATCTGTAAAAAGATAAAAAGTTAGTCAATTCATCTTGAACTTTGTGTTTTGTGTCTTTTTGGAAAATGATATTAATATGGTGAGTGTTGTACCCAGTGTTAGCTGGTGGAGCATGTTCTCTGTAGGGCTGTGCCACATCCAATCAATTTCAGCAAACATCCCAGAATGATTTAATGCAAAAACATTAAGTTATCAAACACGTATTACTACTTTGCAGTTAAATATTTAACCTTTATTCCAACATGACAAAAAGCAGTAAATAACACTTTGATAAACACGTCAGGACATCTTATTTTAGTCACCCTCACAGGAAATTCAGTATAATATAATAATATATATATCATAATATTCAGTATAATATAATATATATATATATATCATAATAATATTCAGTATAATATAATATATATATCATATAATATTCAGTATAATATAATAATATATATATATATATATATATCATATAATATTCACTGTAATATAAAACACATATATATATATATATATATATAATGATGTATTTATAACTATACATCATGTCTCAGCAGGTGCTTCATGTCCCTCTCTCCCTAGCTGTCCGTGCTGGATCTGTCCCGTTGTTTTAAAAAGCTAAATACGTTATTAGCATGACGTCATGCAGCTAGCCTAACCTGTCTGGTGTGCAGCTAGAGAAGCTTCATGTGCTGCTTCCCTTCCCCGCTAGTCTGCTGTCTGATTGTGAGGTCAGGCTGATCTGATATCAGCTCTTTGGCCTGAAGGTTCTCCTCAAAGTTCTCCTCTCAAACGGGTCTTGGGGGACATCAGACGTCCTCCATCAGACGTCCTGCTAAAGATGTGCTAGACGGACGGGAACGTTAGCGCACAGTATCAAAATGTATTAATGTTTTATGACAAAAATATACCATAAAGATCAGTTTCACATCTATATCTGTGTGTTCATGTTTAGAGCTGCAACCAACGATTATTTTCATTCTCAATTAATTGTTTATTATCTTCTAGTTTAAACGATTGTCTATAAAATGTCACAACATGGAGAAAAAAAGTCTCCAAAACGATGTCTTGTTTAATAGTTTTCTGTTGATTGACCGATTACAGACTTTGACTTTAGTTAATGTGACTCTTAAACACGTTTGTATTTCTTTGTAATCAGCCAGCTGAGATCTCCACGTGTTTCTTTCACGTTTATAAAGAAAGAGAACCTCAGATTAAACGGCTGCTGTTGCAGTCAGACACGTTGTTTTATTGGGCTTTTTTCCAGGTTCAGATCTTTAGTAAAATATTTGTCCATTCATGCACTGGAACATTTTTATCTCAAGAGCTGCAGCAGATGTTTCCACTCGAGTCCACATGGGGGCTTCAGTGAGCCACCAGAGTTCAAGTCTAGTTGCACCTGAAAGGGAAAACAGAGAAATCAGCCAACATGGTAACACCGCTCATGAAGAGAGACTTATTGTTGCCACTTGAGGGAGCGTTGGCTGCAGGAATCTCCTCCGATCACAAGCAATGGAGGATTTCCGCCATCAAAGGGGGTCAGGTGTATAGTTGTTAAAACCAGGAGGAGGTATTGAAGATATTGGCTCTGTGTGTGTGTGTGGGGGGGGGGGGGGGGTTGTTAATGCAGGCTTTTATTTTGACACATACAGTATCTGCAGGCACGAATGAACTTTCCTTTCAGGCGCTGACCTTTCAATTATAGAGAAGAAGTAGCCCTCGGAGGAAACATTCACCACGGGCTTGTTTTCCTGCAACGACTGCGGTTCTGCTCTAAATTCAAGGCCAAAGGTGACTCCTACACTAGAGATGATCCTCCTCCTCCTCCTCCTCCTCCTCCTCCTCCTCTTCCTCCTCCTCCTCCTCCTCCTCATCATCATCTCTCTCCTCAGATAAGACAGGTACCAGACCTCTGCAGTACATGTGAGCTTTTTAAGAGAGATTAGCGGGTCGAGCGGTGGGCAGACGAATAGCCCGTCTTCTGGAGTGTGAAGCGGTGAGATGAAGAGGCATTGCTCCTGAGCCTGGAGTCCGTTTAGGGGAACTTTGCTGCCACCGAGACCAGAGGAGGCATGAATGATAACGAGGGCCGGGGGCAGAAACCAGTTTTCAAATACCATTGATACCTAATCATCACTTAACCAGCAACGGACCAACCTGCTTCTTTGCTGTTGGACTTTTACAATGTAGTAACTGCTGAGTTCTGGCAGCATTGATAGAAAACCCAAGCAGTCAGACAGCAGACCTCTTTATCTGGTAAAACCATAGACTGTAAAGAAGTGGACGTAGTCGTGGTAATGTCACCCGTTGGTTTGTGGACTACCGTTTAAAAAAATCTGAGTTCGGCAATTTCGCCATCGCCATCTTGGATTCTGGTCGTTGCCATGTTGTTTTCTTCACAAACATTTAACAGAAGTGATATCTGGACTGAGGAGGAGTGACGTAGAGACGGCGCATACGTCTCTGGTAGAGACCTGTCAATCACCGCGTAGCCCCGCCCTAAAGCATCCCCTGCTTTATGGTCTGTTTGACTCTAAATGGACCATAATGTACTAAATGAACATCATGCTGT